CCTCACCTACCTCACAGGGCTGTTGTGAGGAGAAAACGGAGGAGAGGAAGATCCCCATTAGGGGGAAAGAGGCAGGGAATAAATGAGGCAAGTAAGTCGGCTATTACCCCCGTTTTACTGATTGGGGAACTGAGGTGAAGCACACCCATGGGTGAGGCATCTCCCTCTAACTGAAGGCTGAAAGCAGACTCTCAAATCCAATGGTAAGATTGCTGGAAAGAAAAAAATTATTTATTATTTTTGATTTATAACCTGCCTTTCCTGCACAAGCAGGCTCAAGGCGGCGAGCAGGCTCAAGGCAGGTTAAAGAAATGTCAAAATAGCTTAAAGGAATGTCAGACAAAACTGTATGGATGCTCCCTAATTCTGTGCCTGTTGCCCCAGAAGCACAGCCTACTGTGTGCAATGCTGCTTACTCCCAAGTAAGCTACACAGAGGGCTGGCTGCAGTCCTAACTTGTAGGATACAAAGTTCCAAGTTACATTGATTTCTATGCTAAAGCTGAGAAGAGTGAATCAGGAAGTAGCGTTGGTTACATTGTCTCCGTCTCCCATCTACAAGGTGCCAGCTTTATCTCAGGCTAAATTCCTCGCTAAATTCCCAAAACCTGACCTGGCTAGCCCAGGATCGCCTGATCTCAATCAGACCTTGGAAGCCAAGATGGTATTTCGATGGGAGACACACCCGGGTTGTCACACAGAGGCAGGCAATGGTAAACTACCCCTGAATGTCTCTTGCCTTGAAAACAGTGCTCCCTCTAAGCAAAAATTCTCCTTTCTGAGCTACTGGCATTAAAGTTGTGAGCAGGTGATTTGGCTCCTGCATCAATTAGTTTGCTCTGGAGCCCTCCTTCCCGAGCCGGAAGCTAAATGTGTGAGCCGGAGGCTAAAAAACTGTGAGTTAGCTCACCAGCTTAGAGGGAACACTGCTTGAAAACCCTCTAGGGTCGCCATAAATTGATTGTAGCTTGACAGCCAAAACAAAACAAGAGTTTCCGAGGGTCCGAGCAATCCAACAGCATTTTCTCTCCTGTTAATGATTATACAGGAAGTAAGAACGCTGGATTGTTACCTTTCCTAGACAACCAAAAGGGGATTAGAATGTGCAGCTTCAGAGACAAAAAAGAAATCAAGTGCTTGTTCCATTATAGAAGCAGGATTATGGGGGGAGGGAACAAAATTCCAGAGCCGGAGCCCGAGAAAGGCAGTTCATGCCATTTGCTTTTATCAGAGGTTTGAACGGGGTCTGGAGAGTGTGAGCGGAGGCCAGCAGGGATCTCGGGGGGCGGGGGGGCAGTCTGCAGTGGCTCCAGGCAGCCCTGTCTTAGGGAGAAAGTCTGTCTGAATGTGGCAGAGCCCAGGTAAGTGACCTACCTGGAATGTCTGATGTCCTGCCATAAAACACCTGGTGCAGCTGCTCACCCCAGAGTCCGTTGCCCCTCCTGCCAGAGGCAAGAGCCAGAAACAGGTGCAAACTCAGATTCCTGAAGAAAAAGATGCTTCTGCCCCAGAGGAGCTTGAAATTATCCTTAAATCGTTCACGCTAGCCACACAGCCTGATCATAAGAACATAAGAGAAGCCAATGCTGGATCAGGCCAATGGCCCGTCCAGTCCAACACTCTGTGTCACACGGTTGCCAAAAATACCAGGGGTCATCAGGAGGTCCAGCAGTGGGGCCAGGACACTAGGAGTCCCTCCCACTGTTCCCCCCCCCCCCCAAAGCCCACAGAATAAAGAACACACCTCTCCCACAC